ACGACGTAGAAGATGATGCTTGAATTCGATCTGTGTATGTGTAGAGCGTTATAACACCTTTGTTTCTTAGTAAGAGAGCATCAAAGTGAAGGTATATATCATATTCTAATTGAAATGTTTTTAGTGATGATAGGCTCACGATACAACAGATCAATTGACATATGTATGAGAGACGAAAAATCTCAGCGTGATTTTTCTTATTTTGTTTTTACTACCTTTCAATGTCCAGTCATAAAAAATTGATGTCGAACATTGATTAATTAAGATGTGTGACGAAAAACAATATCGACTACTGTGCAAGTCAAATGTGTGTGTGTGTAATTGCATTCATATATCGTCTCATTTTATTTGTTAGAAAAATAATGATAATTGATAAGTGTTGAAGAAGATGCTATTACATAAAGTGAGAATATAATTAAAGAATTATACAAACCATATATTCTAATTAATAAAACAACGAATATGTTTTTTGAAAACTACATATGCAATTTGAAATGAAATATCTGTTGGCAACAAAAAGGTTCGGAATTCGATGGTGGATTTAGAGAGATCGTATCTCTCTCTGACAAAAAAAAACATTTTATTTACCATGATCGCCTTCATTCAAAAATTTTCTAAGAATTTATTAGGTGCATGTACAGTTTTCTTAAAAACGAGGCAGCTCACCCTCTCACATCTACTTCTGTAATTCGTTCACGTAACACTCTTCACCAGCTTCCTATGCTGAGTTACGTCTCTGACTCTAGGTCCAACAAATGATAAGTAAATATTCTCTACTGTTATTTTCCTAGCATTGTCAACCACTGGTCAAGATACTCAACATCGAGAGTTTGTCGAGATCTTTTACTAATTGAGGGTATCTTACTCTTCGGTTGAACCGTCTCTGTATTTGACGAAGACATCAAATAGCTAATGGAAAAATTTTTGACTTATTTAAATACCTGTTATTTACGAATATTTCTCTTTCTAAATTTCTTGCTTTAAAAGCAATGAAATTTTTCTTCCGATACAAAACATATTTACCTTAGGTTTGAATAATCAAACCAGTCAAATTCGTCGTGATAAATTTCTATTGGTTGTCGTGCCTTTTTTTTTCTTTTTTTAAGAGAGAGAGAAAAAATTTACTTTTATTGGTTGATTTAAAATGAAAAGAATGAGTGAAGAAAAAAAATGTCGCATATATTTGTCGGAAGTCAGAATTCGAATCTCTCACTTTTGTGTGACTTGAAGATAGAATATATTCATTCAATGCAACAGCCGCTGCAACATCCCGCTCATCAACATGGAAAGGTAGAATGAGTTATATTTTTTTCTTTCTTTGTTAAATTTCGCACATACTCGATTATAGTACCAACATCCACAAATTCAATATCTTATGAAACCAGAATATAATGGAGAAAATATTAGTATATGTTTACAGAATCGAGATTTATGGAAAAGATTTCATGATTTAACGAATGAAATGATGTAAGTTATTTTCTAAAATTTTATTTTTGAAAAAAAAAAAAAGAAATTTTACTTTTGTAGAGTGACAAAAGCTGGTCGCCGAATGTTTCCAATTGTATCAATAAGTATACGTGGTTTAGAACCAGAAAAAATGTATTCTGTTGAATTATCATTTGATCAAATTGATCCTCATCGTTGGCGATATGTTAGTGGTCAATGGCAACCAGGTACAAAACCAGATCCACCTATACAGCGAGCACCATATCAACATCCTGATTCACCAAACTATGGTGAAACATGGATGAGAGATACAGTTTCATTCTCAAAAGTTAAATTAACAAATAAAACTAATCAAATAGGTCCATGTCAGGTAAGAGATAGAACATAAAAGAAAAAACAAAATTCTAAAATAAAAAAATCTTATCTTATAGGTTGTACTCAATTCCCTACATAAATATAAACCAAAACTTGCAATAATTGATGTTATGTTAAAAAAGAAAATCTATGAAACAAGTTTTGATGAAACAGAATTTATTGCTGTAACAGCTTATCAAAATGAAGAAGTAAATATCTACATATATATGTATACAGGAAAATCCTGGATAGAGTTGATTGGGTTCGAGATCATCAAGATTGATATTATCTCCTGCACTTGGAACACTCCTATATATACATATTTCTTGTTTTTTCTCTTCTATTTGATGTTTATCAAGAATTTTTATGTTTCAGGTAACAGCATTAAAAATTAAATACAATCCATTTGCTAAGGCATTTCTTGATACTGGAAATAATAGACGGTAAGAATAGAACAAAAAAGTGAAGTGTTGATTTTATATGAAAATATGTTTTTTTTTTCTCTTTTAGGGACGATCGAGATATGATGATGTTAGAAGAACAATCAGCAAATGGAAATAATTATGTGTCACCGTTTCCACATCATTCAATGTTTTTTACTCATCAATCATCACCTATGAATACAAGTGTAGGACCTGAAAGACTTAAATTTCAATCATATCGTTCAACACCATATAATTATTCTCAAATACAACGAAAATCTTCACCAACTGATGGTAGAATGTTTTTCTTTTTTATAATCATTTCCGTTGCTTTTTTTTTCTTTTATTTACTCTAATAACTATTAAACATTACACATAATTGTTGTCATCAAAAGAAACTAACACTATACCACTAATGTGTTATTCCGGAATGATGACACTTTAGTTTTTCCTTGAAGAAAAAAAAACGAATTATTATTTTCTTATTTCTACTGTAGGTTTTCAACCAAAACTTGATCCATATCCAACATCATCAACATCACCGTTTGATCCAAGACTATTCTATACTCCAACAACACCAGCTAGTATACCATGTTCATCATCATCACCAATATCACCAAATACAGCAGCAGCGACTTCTTATTATTCAAATACATATTATCCAACACCAGCTTCCTATTATTTTCCATATGGTCCAACATCATCACCTGCATCACATCATCCATTTATGGCACCATTGACATGTCCAATAAACAATGGTACATCGTCATCACCTATAAGTCCATCATTTTTACATTTACAACAACCAGTAACGATTATACCGAATATAAGTAATCATTCAGCATCATCATCACCAAAAGAACATGAAAACTTATTTAATTCATCATCAACAACAACAAATGATGCTACACAATATTAATAAAATAAAACATAAAAAAAACTTTTTTTTTTCTTTTGGTGTTCATTAGCTTTTTTTTCTTATTGTATGTGTGTTTATTTAACAAAAAACAAAGAATAAATCTACATGTGAAAAGTATTTACTATTATTGATATGTAATTTCTATTGACGAAAAGCTCGAGATTTGTCTTCATTGTAAGATGTGAAAAACAAAAGATTAGAGATTAATGACAATGACAATTGAGTGAAGATTAACAATCAATGAACTAAACGAGAAAGGTCAAAGACAGGTGCATTTCGATTATTTTCTTTTATGGTGTTTATATTTGTTTTGAGATGCATCATCATCATCACCACTATGATCAAATAAATAAATAAATATATATATATATATATGAATATATATTTGTGCGATTTACCGCTTCTGAATCAAACAATTTTGACGCGACTATGTGAACCGCACTTGTTCTTTCTCATTGTACGTGCTTGGAGAAAAAAAAAAGAAAAGCATAATATGAGATGATGTGACAAATAACAAGTGAAGAGGCGTGTGTTGCTGGCATTTATTGCCATGAAATACACAAACAAAATGACAAAACGATCACTTGTATAAAGAAGAAAAGATTATCTTTTGATCTTGTGTGAGAGTGCTTTATGGCAAGAAGGTCAGAGAAATATATATGGATTGAAATTTACAGCAAAAAAAAAATAATGTTTTGATGATTTAAATATCAAGAGATATTTTTGGCTGGATGAAACAACTTAAGCAAATAAGAAGAAAACATTCACTTTTTTTATTAGAAAGGTTGGAACGCCTAACATATTCATTCTTAAGTATTAGCATCTTGTTTCAAGAGTTCTGTTCTAGTTTAAATATTGTAGGATGAAATCAATTTTTGAAAAAGAAAATTTCAAGTTTATTAATATGTTTTCAAAAGTATGATAGTCTCGAAAACAATTTGTAATATATAAACCAATATTGTAATCTGAATATTTCGTATTTGGTACGAGATTTTTTCTTTTTTTGGTCGTTTAATCATTGATTAGTGATGGAAAATAATGAGCCATCTGTTTCAGTAGTTTGTCAGTAGAAGGCCGATCTCTTCTACGATACCATTGACTAGCATATTAGGTATCCATTTGAAGCCTATGAGATTCGTCAATAGTTCTATTTCATACTATAGTATTTTGTTAAGGCAAAATTGGTGATATATACAAGAAAATAGCAGAATATGAATCACGTTTGAAGCAACACTGTCGCATTGTAACCTTTTTTGACCAATAGTATTTTTGAAACTTTCCATACAAAAACTAATTTGAGAATATTGAAAACAACTTTTTAAATAGGCTACTGGACGAGTTCTATCCAACTGTCAAATATTAAGGTTTCATTCGAGTAAAAACAACAGAAATTGAACATCTAGTTATTTGATACGTGACAAAGAAGACACAACAGAGACGATATAATTGAGAATTGAAAAACTCAGAAAAAGGAAAAAAATACTCGAGCTATCATAGGAAACGAATAGTGTATACCGAAGTCAATTATTCTGACGAGAGCTGGTTGAAAAACGTAGAAAATTGGTAAGAGCTTGGAAAGAAGAAACCAATCACCGGATTTCTGTTTCCAAGTTCTGACTGACTTTTCCGCTTTTACGGCCAAAACCACCTCGTCTTCTTGACTTGGGTATTTACGAATGTAATGACACGTAAGAAAATGTTAATGAAAAAAAGAGAAGGAACTAGTGAATCAGGAAAAAATAATCCTGGAGAAAATTTCGACAAATACTAAAATGTGATCAAGGAAGGATCAGCAGACTGAACTGTCATAGCATCACATGAACTATATGAAGAAATCGGCCAAAACATTTTTTTTTTCATTATTTCGATTGAACAGCTGATAATGATGCATTTGCACGATCGTCACTGTTTACATTAGTAAAATCAAGCATGGTAACACTAACAGAACCTGACGGTGGCCGATCTGTCTTTTCCATGTTTGTAATTAATGGCTTAACTTGATTAGTATTCTTTGCTGAAAGACCAACTGAACCTAATATAGGTTGTGTAAGTTGGAAATTATTCTTTTTTGGTTCCGTTTTAGCTGTAATATTTTCATCAGATTGTGTTTCAGCATTCGCAGTTGAATATTGATCTGTAGGTTCATCTATAAGACGACGACGTTGATATTGTTTTTTATATGCTCTAATACCAAAGTACACACTAAATATAATAATTGCACTACCAACAACAACACACACAACAATAACAATAATTAATGATTTATTATTTGATGATGAAGTTTCAGTGGTTGAATCCGATGAAGAAGCTGAAGTCGAATATGTATTACCATTAATATTTATTGACTTTGCTATTAAATCAGACATAGCATTTGGATCTGAAGCAATACTGTCTAGAGCTGAAGCTAAACTTGTAGGGTCGGCATTAACATCAAACCATGCTAAAATACTACCTATTAACACAAAAACACATATAAAAGGAAAAAATAATTCATATTTTCATTGTCAAACCTTTTGTTACAGTAATATCAGTAGCTATTGGCATTCCAATACAAATTAAATAATTATAGATAATTGCTCGTTTAATTTCCAGTAAACCATTTGTTTGAAATTTATCATAATCTCCATCAAATATTATATATGATGATGGAGCACCACTATTACTATTAAGAGTCGCTAAAAGAAAATAAAGGATCACTAATTTAATATATTAAATTAATTTAAAAACAAAACATACTTGAATTTTTTTTAACTAAAATTCCATTTGATACAAGTGAAAATGCATATTCATTATTCGATGATGCTAATTGAACTTTAATAACATACATTCCAATAGTATCAATTACTAAATCTGTTGCAATAATTGTACTTTTTATTGGATTAATTATAATTGATGATGTATTTGTTTTAGTTAATGTTCCATTACTATTAAACTCTGGTAAATTATAAAGTGATACATTTGCTGACCATGTCATATCACGCCAATGTATATTTCCAATTGGTAAATGAGATTGACTATCAACAATAACAACTGATATATTAAATGTTTCATTTATTGAAACAACATATATATGATCAATTTGTTTTGCAGCTAATATAGCTTTTGTAATTGTTAATGATGATGAATTAGCTGTTAAATTTATATTAGACATAAATGAACTGCAAAAAGAATCGAATCAAACAAAATATTTTTATTTTTTCTTCGTTTTTTTTTTGTCTTACCTTGTTACATTATTTGGTTGAATAAAAGCAAATTGTACTTGATAATGACCTGTAGCTGACAAACCAAATGATGTATATTGTGTTTGTCCATTAGAATAATTTGCAATTGCACCAATTAATGTTATATTTGAATCATCAACAACACTAGCCATAACTTGCCATGGTTGATCATTTGATCCTAATTTTTCTATAACATTTCCATCTTCATCATATGCAATGAGTTTTGGTTGTATAGCACATGGACTTTGTTCACGACAAGATGATGGAGGTGTAACAAGTTCTATTCGATGAATTATACTTAGTGATATAGATGATTGATTAAATGGTTCTTGAATGCTTAAATCTGTTGGTGTTGTATTACCAGTAAAAGGATTTTCTGCCCATGCTCGATGCAATTCACCTGATTGATAACGATTAATAATAGCTGCACAAATATTTGAAATTGGTTCAGTTTCAACAGTAGAATTGGTTGATAAATTTGCTACTGGATCATCACGTATTTCAACAGTTAATTCTATGGTGGATAATTGACGACGAATACGACTGTAAAAACAAAATTTAAAAAACAAAAAATAGATATATTTTATAAAACATGATCTACAAGGAGTGCTGAAGTGTAGAAGTAGAAATTCGGTTCCAATTCTTCCATCACGAACCCATAATTAGCAAAAGAAACTACATTATTTTTCATATAGTAAGAGTGCAGGATAACACTAACAGTACTCAATTTTACAATAGAAAAAGTAATTTACCCAGTATAATTATTATTAGCTGCAACGATGTTAACACGTCGAATTTTATCTGGACTGACACCGAGTATAGCAGCTAGATTAGCAGTTAAATTTGATGAAAAAAATGATGATGGTGTTTGTGGTGGTAAATTAAAATTAAGTACAACCAATTCAGAAATTTTTAAATCAATTACAGTTATACCATTAATTAAAAATGATGCCATTCTTGTTTTTCTAAATTAAAATAATCGAATAATAAATATTAATAAAAAATATTCTATTTTTATATTACCTATTAAAATAGTTTGAACCCGGTGTAGATGTAAATGTTATATTATTTGGTTGATCAGTTAATATTAAATAACTATAACTTAAATCACGATTTACTGGTGATACATAAATATTATTAGCATAAACATCAATTTGTTGTAATGAATCATAATAAAGTGATAAAATATTCACGATTGATGAATCACTATTAAGTAATCGAAAACGTATATGATTTGGTGTTGTACTTGATAAATATACATCGTAACGATGTCTTGATTGTACTAATGACATAAATGTTGATATACGTTTTTGACATGTATATCCATTACACCAACCATGATCTTGTGGTCCATTTATTAAATCAATATAACCATTATCAGACATAATAGCTACAGGTGATAGACGTCTTGTTTCAGTATCTGAATCCATATTTTCAATAACTAACATTCGATAATCAGTTGTATTTGGACAAAAATACATTTGCCATGATGTTCGATAAATACATGTTGGTGCACGACTAATACCACGATTAGGATATAAAGTATTTATATTTATCATATGACCTGTAAGATTTGCTAATGCAACTGATGGAATACGATAATCACCAACACCATGTTGTTGATCACCTTTAAAGAAATAAATTAATAAAAAATGAAAAACTTCATCAAAAATACTAAATTACCCCAAAGATATTCAGCTTGAGAGAAAACACTTGTTGGTTGACCAAATAATGTTCCATCAGTATCAATCAGTAAATTTTTCTTTAAACCATCACAATCCATATCTAAATTTTCATTAAAAATATCAAATCCAAAAAAAAAAAAATAAACAACAGACTTACCAACACAATCACTCGGATTCACAACATTTAGATTTGGTCGTCCATTAAATATCAAATTCATTTGTGATGTATTATATACTGATATTAATTTAGTTACTATTGGATGTTGACCATCATCATTATGTTGTCCAACTTGAATAGCTATATCACGACGTGAACATATATCATTATAAAATGCTAATGTTACATTTGTTATTGTCATTAAACCGTCAACTAAAAATATGATGATGTTATTTTTTAGTATTGTTATTTTTATTTAACTTACTACATGGATACGCAGCAATACCAGTCCATGGATGACGTGGCATCAAATTATCACGTGAAAAAAATGGAAAGACAATACCTGATCGACCACCAGGATCTCCTGCTGATGATGTAGCTGATACAGTTGGAATAGCTTTTATACTATTTATTGAACTGACTGTAGTTGTATTCGGAGTATCATTACAATCGTCAGGTGTTATAGAACCAATAACCATTGAATTAAGAATTGTTACTGAATTATTACCGGCTACATGTGATATAGCTAAAAGAAATAGATAAAATAGAAATTAAATAATTTATCAAATTTATTTTCAGCAAAAGTTTACCTGTAGGACCAATAACAAGTGTAAATATACCAACATTACCATCGGCTACTGTACAGGAATCAATAATAATATTGCGAGCAGTATTGATATATAGACCATAATACCATGCTTTATAGGTTCTATGCAGAAAAAAAAAATAGCAAATATATAACTTGGAAAAACTAATGAATTTACTTGAAATCATGAATCAATATACACTCTAAAGTAAAATGAATGAAATCTTCATTATCATATCATAATTTGTCTTAATAACTTACTCGAATCATATTCAAAACCTTTATCCATAGGCCAAATATTAAAACCAGACATTGCTGAATGAACTTCATTATTTGAATAATCATTGGTTATATCATTTGGTAAAACAGTTCCTGAACAAGAATTTCCTTGAATACGATAAGCTAAACGCTCTACACCTGCTACTAAATTGTCCTAAACATTTTTATTTTCATTTATCATAAAATTTAAATAAATACAAAGAAATCTATACCCTCATAATGACACTAATAGCATCTTTTGACATTATAGCTCCATCATTATTAGTATTAAATTCTGCTAATTTTGGTTGAGCTGTGCCTGACCAATAAATAGATGAGACAAGATTTTTTTCTACAATATTATTTTTTCCTGTTACAACAATTGCTGATTCATAAGTTTTATAAACAACATTATTTGTTATTGGGATACCATTTGTATCCCATACACCAATTCTTGAACAAAACAATATATTTTTAATCTTAAAAAAGAATAAACTTAACTATAACTTACGCTGAATAATAACCACCATCGAATGAACATGAATCAATATATGTTGGTCGAGATGAATTCCAATTACCAAGATTATATAAATGAATACCTTCACGTTTATCTTCATTAGCTGCATCAACATATTGACCATAACCAATAAATTGTGTATTAGATAATCGAGCATAACCTTTATAATATGTATAAATATAATCATTTGCTACTGAATTCCATATATTTACTGCATAATCAGTAACAAGAATTCGAAAACCGAATAATTCCGAAGCTGGACTTCGATTAATTACACGTATATTTCGTGTTAAAAGACCAACAGCACCAGCTATGTGAAATATTTTTCCATCTGGAAATACATTATGAATAACAACATGTGTATAAACAAGAGGATTAACGGTTATGATTTTTGTTTTATCTATACTAATATTTGCAATAGTATGTCGTTCTGTATGTTCAATATTTGTATCTGTTGTTGTTAGTATAATTTCTTCACCAATTTTCCAATCAACTGGTTGACTTAATATAATTGAATTTTGACCAGATGAAGCTGTTGTAATGAGACGTGTCCATGAAACATTACGTTTTAGACCATGTAAATCAAGACCACCTAAAACACCGATTACTTGAGGTCCTATAGAGCCAGCATCATTAGGTAATAAAACATTGATAGATGAAGAACTATTGATGATAATATCAACTTTAGAAGTAAGTGGTTTATTCGGCCAACCTATTGAAATCATATTTTAATGAAAACCACACGAAAAATCTATTACTTACCAACAATCAATTGACCTCCATTAATTAGAATACTATTAACAACGAGAGTATTATCAATACCCTAAAAACAAAACGAAAGAGTTTTAATCTTGATTAAACGAAAAAATCAAACAAAAAAAAACAAACTTGTTCGAACTCAAGTACACCATCGATACGTAATGAACGAATACGAGGTAATGGATAATTGACAACAAGCCATATACCACGAGGAATCAATATATTTGTATCATTACCAGGTTTAATACTTCCTAATATAGAAGAAAAAAATAAAAATAAAAATAACAAAATCAATTCAATGAAATATCAATTACCATATCCACCATAGCCTGCTAATGCAAATGACCAATCTGAATTATTTGACCAATACAATGCTGTAGTTGGTCGAACAGTTGCAGGTAATTCAAGACCAGGTTGTGGTGGTGGTTGACAATTAGGATATCGACATTTGATTATATTTAATGAGATTGATACATCAATTGAGACAATATTTGATGATGGATTTTTTACTAGATAAAATTACAAAATTATATAAATATAAAGCATAAAATAACTCAAAATGATTACCCATATAAGAAAATATTGATGTATTAGCATTATAATGCCAGTCACCATTATTATTTGTTGAACCATTAAGTGGTGTATTTGATTGACTAGATACTAATGAACTTGAAGTTGTATAAACAATATCAGGCTTATAATCAATCTTATGACGTATAATAAGATAATCACCAGGTTCTAAACCATAAGCAATACCTGAATAAGACAAATTGACTGAACTCTAATAAAGAGAATAAAAATTCAGAATATGGTCCAAATTATTTTAGTAGAAAAGTATATACGTACATTAGCATTTTGAAATTGAAATAAATAAATATTTTTAGATAATAATGTCATCATATAACCTAACGGATGTGTTAGTCGTTTAGCAAGATTAAGTACAATGGTATGATGATTGAATTGATCATAAACATTTAAATATTCACCATTTTGTCCTAAACTAGCTTTATTAAAAGCAAATCGTATCCATGTACCTAATGATAATGGACATGTAATTGCATTGATAAAGTTCGGTGTTGGTCTACATGCATTTGATGTATTCCAAAGACCATCAGGTGCAAGAATTATTGTACCAGATACGTTAGACAAAGAACCATCTTCGTCTTGATATAAACCATCATACGGCCATCGAAAATTACCTCGATTAGCTACATTTGTAAATGATAATTGAGAAAATTTCGTTAACCAACCTTTTTGGAAAACACATAAAAAAAACAGATATTTAATAAAAACAATCAGTTTTTTTTCTTGTACCTCCACAATATACAATGCAACGACCAGTAATAAATGGTCCATAAATAGCTTGTGTATTTGAACTTGAAAAATTAATGAATGAAACATTTCGTACACGAAGTCCACGATCCCACATAACTGTAAAAAGAAAAATTAAACACGTTTTGCTATTTACTTTTTCTTAAATATAAAAACTTACCAACAAGACCACCTTCTGTTGGTACGATTGGATTTCCTGATACTCCTGAATCACCAATTATGATTGAATTAATTACTGATGAACCTCTAGTTTCATTATAAAATGTGGCACGAAGATTTGGCAGATTTGTTGCTTGATGATTAATAGCCGTAACACATCGAAGACCCGTATCATAATTATCAAAAACAATTGTATTTTTTATTTGAATTGAACTTGACATAACCCATTCAAAACCTTTAGAGTTTTTCCATGATATTAAACCATCAAATATTGCTTGATAAGGTGCATCATTCCAACAATTACCCGCTACTGTGGGTGAATATTCAGGAAAGATCCAAACACCAAAACGACCAACACTGTGCACACTATTGTTAAAAAATCGACCAAATTGTCGTCGATAAGGACAATAATTGGGATACATCGCAAATGATGGTCCATCAGGTGTTCGAAGCATACGATACCAATAGCCAAAATGAGTACCACCAGCAACAGCATTATTCACAACGATATTATTTGGATTGGTCACCTAAAATTCGAAACATTGTGTCTCCTAAATGAGTTCTCGATGTTTTTAAAATATTACCCAAAAAGCAGCTGGTGTTACATCTTCATTGAGTAGACTTGAACTTGTTCGAACAAACACAGCTAAATTACCATTTAATATATTACCCGTTTCAACACCGTCTTCTAAAAAGATTGCTCCACCCCTAAACAATTTCAATCGTGTATCATAAAAACTTTTAATAAAACTCAATAGGTGTATATACATACATAATATTATATATGACATTATTTTCTATTGTGACATAATGACTTGCATGAATATTAATAGCTCGATTAAATGTTTGATGAATTGATGATGATTTAATATATGATAAATTCATATTTCCATTCATATGAAAATGAACTGGATATCGACCGAGGCGAAATGCTTGACCAACATTATATACCTTGATACAAATAAATTTAAAATAAAATCAATCATATACAAAGAAAATTTACTTCAATATTTGATAAACGCAGTATCACTCGTTGTATACCATCAGAACTATCGGTACTAGCACTGACCATGATAGTTGCACCAAATTGATCAGAACCTATATCTTCACCATATCGACCAAGAAAACATGTTTGAACTGCGAATTCACCTACATTTTAAGAAGAAGAAAAAACAATTTTTTTCAGTTAACTCAAAAAAATTTGGTATTGTTTCTTACCAGGATTAAAACCAGTTGGACATGCTGCAATGGATGTATTCCATGTTTCAGTAACTGAGCCTATCATTGCAAAAAAAAAAGTATTTAAATTAGTTATTCATATCATTGACAAACCTTGAAATATAACATTGTGTGACAGAAGACCCACTTCAGCACGAACTTCCACTGTTGTCGAACCAACATTTTGTGTTACACCCAAATGAGTGTATTTCAATGGTGAGTCCAATGTTAATATACGTCCATTGTTTGATACAGCTGTTATAGCACGTATCTCAGTTTGTCCTTGACTTAAATAATCGCCTGTAGTTGCTATGACAATCGTACTGCCCACTGGCCAATCTACTGCTTGACGAAGAGTAATTTGAGATGATCCACTAGAAACTGTTGCAGCCAGATGTGTCCATGTTTGTGTAACAGTTTTTCCATGCATATCCACGATGCCATCTCGTAGTGCCAAAACTTTAGCTCCGACTAAAGAATAAATCAGTCGATAACATTTTTTTTTGGTTTTCATTTATGAACATGAAAAGAAGATCTTACAGATTGGTAATTCAATTGATCTTAAATGACCATACATCGTAATGACAGCTTTATGCTGAAATGGATTTGTTTCAGTACCAATTTGTAGACGACCACCATTAACAACCAAAATGTATTCAGCATTCAAACTAACGTCTTGATTATCATCAAAAATTAAGGATGCATTGTCAATAATCACAGCTTTAAGAATAGGTGTTATTGTGTCGAAATAAACTGTCTTGCCATTTTCAATTGAAACAATAGTGCCAGCCTCAGGCGGAATATCACCGCCCCATGTCCATGGACTTGACCAAAGATCAATATATTGATATAGAACTGAACCGACTGCATTACCACCATTAACCAAATTCACAATCACAAGTTCTTGAGTTGTTGTTCTTGAATAACTACCTGTCAAGCAGGTGATCATTGTTGATGAAATTGTTTGAACTGAACATGAAACATCAGCAATACTAACTGATACTGCACTGATTATGGTTCTGAAATATTAGAAAGAGCATTTTCTTTCATTCAAAAGTTGCAACTAAGTTAAAACACTTACGGAAAATTTGTTCCAAAGATTGTTAAAAGTGTACCACCACCAGTTCCCCCTCGACTTGGACTAATTGATATTACGACTGCTGTTAAATTCACTTCATAAATATACGACATACTTTGTGTTAAACTTCCAGCAGTAACTGTTAAATTGCATGCTGTATCGGATGAAGCAATAGGTTCCGAAGGTGTAACACAAGTCATTTGTGTATTTGATACAATAACTGCCGATTGACAAGTTCGATTACAAATAGTAATTCTAGCATTGGATCCATTAAATCCATCACCGAAAATAGTTATTGTTTGACCACCACCATAGCTGCCGCGTGAAGGTGTTACATTAGTAACTTGTAAAATATATTGAAACTGAATATTTGAATTTGATTTACCAACAGACTCTACATAAACAACTACTGATTGATTTCCAGCTGGACTTGATCCAAGTGTACATGTAATGGATGTAGTTGACATATTGATAATTGTGCTTGCAATACCACCAATTAAAATACTCGTTTTACCATCAACAAAATTTGTACCTGTAATTGTCAATGTTTCACCAGCACTTCCTGATGTAGGATCAATTGATGTAATTGTAGGTGTAATAGCTGAGCTATACGTTATTGAAAAAGCATCAGAAAAATTTATACCATTTGAAGTAATACGGACTGTAACTGATGATGGATTACTTCCTTGAGCTGGAATTATACATTGAATTTGACCAGGTGCCGTTCGAATTATTGTACATCTATTAGAACCCATCATAACTTGAACATTAGTGATTGAACTAGCAAATCCATTACCATCAATTGTAAGAAGAGCACCACCATAGATACTACTGTTTGTTGGTGAAAAATTTGAAATAGACATCATTGATGTAAGCAGTGCTGATGATAGAACTGTTCCAATATCTATAATGAACATAATAGGAAATAAAGAAATATTTTTGCAAAACATGAAAGAATACCATCAATTGATGCGACAATTGGATGAACTCCAACTTGAATACTATCAATTTGACATACAATAGTTGAGTTGGATACTGATGTCACATTACACATTTGTCCATCGATAGTGACATGAATACTAGTTGCTAGTATTGTATCATTCATTACTAGATTTCGACCAGTCAATGTTAATAATTGTGGACCAGTAATAGATGTCGGATCAACTGAATCAAGATAAGGTGTAATACTTTCAGCCCAAGTAAATGAACATGTTTCGAATGAACATACAGCTGTATTTGTGCCAATCAAGATCGTAATAGGAATAATTTGATTAATATATTCAGGTGGTGGTATTTGAGTAGTAAATATTATTTGAGAATAAGTAATTGTTGCCATACTAGTATATTCAATACTTCCAACAATAATACGAGTATCAACCGGTGTAAATCCATCGCCAATTATTGTAACTTCAGTACCACCATAGATTGAACCTAGAAGAAAGTTAATTTTTTCTTAGAATAAAACTATGTTGAAAGAAAAATAACCTTCTATGGGTAATACATTAGAAATAGATGCTTGGAATTGAAATTGTATAAGACCATTATTACTTAGATAGCCTTGAAGATCTCGTACAACACGGATATCTTGAATCATTTTAGCATTCAGTGATGAATTCGAAGCAATTTCACAGATGATTTCTGTTGTTGATGCACTTATTATTGGACAATCATAGAATGAACCAATAAAAATATGATTTTCACATAGTACTGTACTAAAATTGGTTCCTGTGATTGTAATGGTTGTACCAGCAGTACCCTGTTGTGGTGAAATCGATTCTACTGAACCAATAGTGCATGGTGTAAAAAGGAACTGATGTAAATTTGAATTAGGAGTCATTTGTGAACATGAACTTGGATCGATCCAAGAACTTGAATTACATGATGATGTTGGTATAGACGCTAAATATTAATGGGAACAAATTGTTGATATTTTACAAGTTAACTTTATCGATTAAATTTATACCTGAAGCTGTGCAGTAGAGTCGTTGTCCAGTGTAGGCAAATGTTGGTGAACACCATTCTTGAGTATCATTTACTGTAGTACACGATGTATAATTGACAGAATCATAGTTGAATGGAAAAGCACATGATTGAGCTAAAAATGAAAGATAAATGTTGTTCAATACATAAGAACTAATTGCATAGAAAGTTTACCGTTAAATGTTCCCGATGTGACTTTCACCGTAAGTGTCTGTGGTTGAGCAGGAACTACTGTTATTACTCCACGCATAGATATCAGACCGGATGAATCAATAAATGATGACCAATAGTAATAAGTATCCAATGTTTGAAATTGATATGAAAATGATCCTATACATAAGCAAATGAATCATAAAGATCTTTGAATACTAAACAGACTCTATTGGATAAGATGATCTATTCAAATTTAAGAAATCTCAAGTATGTCATGTTGTAGAACAAATCGAGGCATGCCGAATGACAAATGTTAGGTCTTATTTTCATACGACTGCAGGAAATAGAGTCAGTTTGTTGATAGACAACTATTATACTGATCATTGTACTTCTAGGTGTCAGTCGACATTATTTCTAAAAATATTTTTCTTACATACAGTTTTGTTGAGCTTTTCACACACTACAAGGTTATATAATTAACATTTTAAACCAGTCTATTTTTGAAAAAAAAATTTGCAAATTTTTCAATCGTTTACCATCATGTTTCACTAATGCTGAGTCTCCTTAGCTTCAATAGTGTCGACTATAGATGTAACCAAATGCCAAACTTTCTCCAAAATTAACAGTGACGTAGCACTACAAAGCACACTATTTGGAATTTCTCCAAGATAAATACGTGATGCCCGAAGTAGCCATATATTAAAGAATCTTATCCGATTTTGTACGTTTATTATGTCGATTCCGAATATTATGTGTATTTTGCACTAGAATCGACTTTTGATGGTCAAAATATCGAAATACAAAATTGAAAGAAGAAAACTGACGTGAAAAATTGTTTAAGATTTCTCAATATAATGCTACTTTGAATATCAGACACTTATGTGGGAGAAATTCAAATAGTGTGTTTTGTTGTGCTAGATCGCAAGTAATTTCTGAAAAATTTTAGCATCTGCTAACGTCTTCTATGATCGACACTATGGGAGATATGGGAACTCGCTATTATTGAAAAGTTTCATTTTTCCTAGCAGAAATAAAGTGATCGAAAATGTTGAGTACACGAGCTTGTAGTTCATGAAAAGCTCTCCAAAACTGTATATGAGAATTTTTTCGCAAACAATATCAAATGATAACAAGCTGCACAATGATCAATAACTGATCAATATTTTAGGCGCATAGTCTTCTATTTGGTTTCTCAATGCTCAATAGGTCATCAACTCTAATAGAGTCCTTTGATTCTTTTTAGTTGTTAGTTGCCTGATGATGTTGCATTCCCTGAATCAAATCCGCCAGGTAGTGGTTCTGTATCATAACCATTAGCTACTTGTTGTACTTTATAAGCAAGTGTTGATAAAAGAGTTGATGTATTCCATTGCCATTCGACAATAGTACCCTGTTGTACTGTTAGATATTGTGGTGACCAAGCAAAACCACTTCCATATATTGGATCAATACCATCTGATGTGATAATAACACGAGATATAGCACTAGTTGTTTGACAATGAATTTGATTTGATTCAATAGAAACAATAGTGCATGGTTTATTGTTATTATTATTATTATTATCATCAGTAAATGTAACAACAGATGAATCATCAAAACCTTCTCCTTGTATATAGACATCAGTTCCACCATATAATGAACCAATTTGTGGTGAAATATTTTGAATATAGAAACGATATTCAATTTGTACTAATGGGCGAGCATAACCATTTATCGTCGAAACTTTCATGGGATAAATACCAGGAGCTAATGAAGGTAGAATAGCAAGAACTTGAGTAGATGATATTGAAATAACAGTTGCCTTTATTGTACCAATAAATACAGAAACTGAACTAGTACCAAAATTTGTTCCATTAATAGTCAATTGACCACCAGCTGTATTCACAACATTAGAACTAACTGATGTAATTGAAGGTGTATTAGTAACATTGTATATGAATTGAGTAGATGCGCTGATGAAATTAGAACCATCAGTAACAATCACAGATACTTCACTATCATTAATAGCAGTCGTAGGTGGTACAGTACATGTTATAGAAGAAAAATTAAACATTATAAGATCAGTACATAAATTATTATCGATAGTAACTATTGATGATGATGAAAATCCTGATCCTGTCAAGATTATTGTGTAGCCTCCGCCTAGATTTAAGAAAGATAAAAAGTAGATTTTTAGTTATCGAGAACTACGAACTGACCTGCTCCTCCTTCTATTGGTGAAATTGAAATAATTTCAAGTGGTATTGTTATTGTAAGATTTGAAGTACCTGTTGCTAAACCTTTATCAGCAACATTCACTTGTATAGTGTAAGTTCCTGATGGAGCACCGATAATTGTACATATTAATGATGTTGTTGTAGCCGATATTATAGTACACGAACCCTCTGTTCCAATAATAATTTCATTTGAACTTGCTGTTGTACTAAAGCCCGTACCAATAATAGTCAATGTCATATCATCTTGTTCAATTGAAGATACAGATGGTGTTTGAGTCGATAACCATTGAAAGTCACATGCATTACTACTGGAACATTTGGATGAATAACCGCCAACGAAAACTTCTATCTGAGGATTTGTATGATATGTTCGTGTCATATCTCCTGGTAATGGTTTATAAATGATTCCACCTGATTGTATAACAGATGCTGTAATTGTTGTATTATTTGGTGAGATAGAATCAATATTTGCAATTGATATAGGTGTTTTTTTACCACCATTATTTAACCATTCAATTCTATATGAATATCCTGTACAATCATGTAAACGTGTTATATTTAAAAAACCAAAATCAGATGATGATTGAAGACGATTAGTTAAATCTAATGTTGAAATATCAACTGGAATTGATGAATATGTTTGTCCATTAAAGATAAGATCAAATGTACCACTCGCAGGACTAGATGCTGTTGTTATTCGTGTTATTATTGCATTCTAAAAAAAAAACAGAGTTTAAATAATTAAAAAAGACCTGTAAACAAAAAATAACTAGCCGAATTAGGCCAAGCAACCAAAAGTGATGGATTTGTACAATCACTATATCGAAAAGAAACATCAATTGTCGAATTAGCTGGTGTATATTGAACTTTTAATGTATTATAAACTAATTGCTGTTTCGGATAAAGTCTTCGTACACCTTCCATAGCTGAACTAAAACATGAATATGTTTGATTAAAACTATCAGCACAAATAGGTATATCGTTTTCATTTAATATACATGTTGAATAACTTTTTCCATTATAATAAAATGGAAAAATACATGATGAATTTAGTGATTGAATATTTGAATAAGAACTTATATTGTCATATCCATAAGGTAATACTGTTCGTATTGATACTGTATCAATAATAATACCTCTATTAATGTTACGACTGAGTGCTGCATAAGTAATTATAATTGATGAAACAGATGAAGCAATCGCTGATTGAGATATAAGTTTAGTACGTATGTCAATACATGTATAATGCCAATTATGATCAGCTATTGTTGTAAATGGAATTTCTTGCCAAATTGTCTGTATTGTATCACCGATAATTTGTACACTTGTCATAATAGAAGTAACATAATTATTCAGTAAACGATAAGCAAAACATAAATAATTTCCTGATCGAGTATTTCCATTAATTAGTACATTACCAATATATGAACATTGACCACAAAATGCATTGATTGTAATTGGTGTAGTATCATAAATACAATTTGTTTCATAATCTTGTACATAAACAATTGATGATGTTATTTGTGCATTATTTATAGATGGTGGACAACGTATACTAAATAAATTATTGAATAATGTTAAAAGATTTGTTTGAGTTATATTAGTATTAATAAAATCAATTGAATTTGTGAATTGATCATTTAACGAAAAGAATAATTTTGAACCTGAACTAACACCTTGAGTAACTTCAGTTATATTTGGTATATTAGATGATAATGAAATACATGTAAGTAATGGAACATCACCCATTGCAATTGGAAATGTTATAAAATAAAGTGTACTTGTTGCTGAAACGGATACAGTTAATGGAAAAATTGATGGTAAATCATTAAGAGCTGTTTGAATAGTAGTAGCAGTTGGTCGTCCAGTAAAAGTAGCTAGAGGAAAAAAAACGTTTTTTTTAAAGATTATTTAAATGAGATAATATAAAAATTATATAGACCTGTATAAATACCACGAAAACCAATTTGAAATGTTGAACTATCAACTTGTAATGATTGAACTTCTGATATTCCATTAGTTATATTAGTTATATAAACAATTCGCTAAAACACAAAGATGTTGTTTAATGCATTTTATCAAATACAACAAAAAACCAAAATAGATTCTTATTACTTGACGTTCAGATATAATTGTAGTATTAATATCAATTTGTTGAATTTCATTCAGAACAAAACTTGACGTTCCTGCCGTTAATGTTGTTTCATATATTCGTGCTTGAATTCCTAATCGTAAATAACCATTTGTTCGAGAACCAACACAAAATAAATAATAGCTAAAAAAAGAAAGATTTTAGACTTCTATTAGAAATCTTTGTTTACTATATACTTTGTATCGTTTTTTAATGCTATTACATTCGATTGAATATTTCTTGCATCACAAATTTTTACTTTATTAGCTGGATTATCATTGGTACTGAGGAATAGAGCTGCTGCACCATTGGTATCCAAAATAAAAGTAAAATTATTTGATTTGGGAACACGTATAAAACCAATAAGCCATACTGTTTCAGATAGTGATGAACTTGAAACATATAAAGCATCATCTGTCCATGCTTGACTAGCATGGATACTCGGATATGGTGGACTAGTACTTGATAAATTAACCTGAACAAACGTAAGAAAAAACAAACCATGAAATAATACTAAACATATAATTACATACCTGATTTATGACACCCAAATCACGAAAAATTTGTAAACCACGACTACCTATAATATTAAGAAGATATTTCTAATGTGTGTACTGAATAAACATTCTCTATGACATTCTAAGAAAAATTTTGCAACAAGTGGATAGATTGAACAATGAGAAGTATTTTGTAGTCAAGTGCTAACATGTCATAAACTATCCAGAAGATCATCAGATTAATAGATTCATGCAAAAATCAAAAGTTTTCACTACGCCCCCCCCCCCCTCCCGACTAACAGTAACGTTTTCGTAGTGAAACAGCCTTAGAAAATGTTCATGAGAAAACATTCGATTTCGTATGATTAAATATTAAATTCTACATTGTTAATGACTTGAAGTAGTACTCCTTTATAAAAAGTGAAGAAGAACTGTACCAAGAACTTGAATTAGATAAACTAAAAGCCTCCGAAAGTTTTCTTTGCCTGCAGTGACTAAACTTACATGTTTAAGAAATATTCTCAACCAAGTGAACAAACCTTCAATGTAATTCATTTTTCTTTGTGAATATTACTGCTTCATAATTATTGTGTTTTTACAGTATAACGATCGAAAACGCTTCTTTCGAACGTGTTTCTTTAAGTTTACATGTGTTGCCACAAGTTGTGAATTTTTTTTCGAAACTATACGAACTTTACATAGTTCAAACTGTCAGTTAGAAATAAGAAGTACTAACTGTATTTTATCTGAATGGCATAAAAAGATTTGCTTTCTCTTTCTTATTCTGAAACTCTCGATGAGAATCTTATACAAATTATTAAGTAAAGTCCGTTGGGTTTGTGTCGAACTCGATTGTTGAGCCTATTCTTGATTCAAAATGTTTCGCCGCCTATGGTAGCAGAGTGCTCTAAGTTTAATGCAGTCACTAAAATATGCATTTAATTCAAAACTTTTATTAACCTTGATATTGATTTTGAGTAACCGTTGGTATTTGTGGTGTTTTACATTGAATTATTGTTTGATTTACACTTAAAATTGTACAATTTTCACTTCCAACTTTAACTACTAATGGATATTGTTGACTATCACTGAAATAATTACCATAGATAGTTAGATTAGTACCACCTTCTGTACTGCCTTGATTTGGTGTTATATTTAAGATAACTTCAAAAAAAAAAAACAATAAACATTTTAATGCAATTCAAAAGTAATGTACGAACCAGCATAGCTTTGAAATGCGTATAAATCACCCATAGCTGATACTCGATAAAGATTTGAATTGATTAATGAACGACCATATTCATTAGTAACTAGCATGCTCAGATTAAATATACCTATTAAAATATACTTTTTACTTTTTCAAGAAATAATCATTAAGTACACATACCAACTTCAGTACCCTCAAAATTACATTTAAGACTTGTATCTGTTACATTGTCATAACTTATTAATAAAATTAATGTTTACATATAAAAAAGAAAAAAACTTGAAAATAAATACTTACGTGTCTCCTGTAACTGGATTAATCATATTACAAAGATGACCACCCAAATAAATTCTAATTTGATTATTTATTAAATAAATAAACAAGTTTAGTTAACGAAAAAAAGAAAATCTTACCGAGAAATAAGTGGATTATTATCTTGAGCACAACCATCAATATCACGTGAATAACATGCTGTACGAAATAAACCTGTTATTGTAATTAATATTTGTGGTGTTCCAGCTTGCGGTTGAATACCAGAAATAATTGGTGTATAACTTAATGATGGTATAAAAGTCGCACGATTCATATCAATATATTGATATGATGGGATTAAATTATTATTAACATAAACTCGAATTTGATAAACACCTTCAGGCATGGCTGGTGCATAACAAGTCAATTGTGTACTGGTTACTTTATCATTATGCATTTCACAATCATAAATAGAATAACCACTAACGAATTGTACTGTATTTGTATTTGATACAGAGGGTAATAAACTAAAACCACTATCTGCAAATCGATTACCATATATCCATATCATCGTACCACCTTGAATACTACCATCTTTCAAAGTTGATGAACCACCTTTTCGAGTTGTAGCATAGTAAATAGCTGCATCAGTAGGAACTGAAAATAAAAAAATATTCTATTTTCTTAAATAACTACATCCGATCAATTACCAATACAAAATGACCATGATAATGCAGTATTATTTGCATTAACTGCAATAGCACATTGTGGTCGATAGTTCACATTATTGGGACCATTGATGGTACAAGTTTGATAAGTTATCTTTTATTATATAAAATATATATTAGCTATTAATAAATCATTTTCAAAATTTCTCATAAAAAAGTGTGAGCCTAATCTCTACATAATTAATTTAGGAAACACGATGTATTTGGCAACAATGTGAACATTTGATGAAAAAATGAAAGTGATATTTTTTGCGATTTGAACAATATTTAATATACTTTGACTAATCATTAACTTTTTGGTATAAAAGAAACTATTCTAGCTCTTTAACGGTTTGAGAAAATTCTAGAGTCAAAAAGTGGCCAGGTCTCTATCATTTGAGAGGAAAATATCTTCTTTCAAAGAAAGTAAAAAGTGCTACGAAATAAATCGTAGACCTTTTGCTCTACCGTACTATATGAAAACCTTTATTTTAGAAAAGTATGTCGTGAGATACAAGTTTTCTAAAAGAACTCGATTTTAAAACATTTTCTACTTTTTTTTTTATTTCAGAAGTACTCTAAGAGAAAAATAAGGACATATTTGGAGTCAGTACAAAAATCTACATTCAATAATGCATCATTTGTTAATTTTTAATATAAAAATTATTTCGAGAAAAGTTTAGGCTGACGATCTTCTCTTACATTTTACATTTAATATCTTTCACAAATCACACTTTTCTCACGAATCATTTTTTTATTTAGTATTGGAAATTAATATTTCTATGGAAAAAAAAAATGCATTTCTAATTGAATATGACCCATGTCTATACTTGCTCTATAGAAATCGCCTATTGTGTGGAATGCTTCAAGTTTTTACTCCTACAGTTAACGGTGAGAATGTTCACTTCATCTATGCTTCATTTAAGAAATATCTTATGGTGAACAACTGATGTAAGAAGAATCCGATGAAATTTTCTTCATAAAAAGACTACTTGTGTCACTGAATTCTATTACTTACTCCGCCATAATTAAATGGAAAAATACATGATGAACCACTGACTGTGTCCACTATTTAAAAATGATAAAAATATATCTATAAAACAGAATAATTATTTAGCTACGCTACCAGGACACATAGTTGGCAGATTGACTGAGTTAGACTCAAAGATCGGATCCCACATATATGAACAAGTTTGACTGTCTACAATAACAAATAGATCAACTTAAATTTGCTAACATTTAGATAAAAAGAAAATATTTACTCATTGATTTGATCATCATAAACCATAACACAAGCACCAAGTGAATTCGCTTCACTTGAGCCATTGTAAAAACAATATGTTTTTGTATTTTGATCATTTGAATGAACAACTTAAGGATATTTATTTTATACCCTTTTTCCGTTCGCTTCTCTTGATTAAATGTAATTTTGATTTATTTTCCTCCTCTTTTCTTTCCACATCGTTCTATTTTTTATAAGATGTCAGAATCGTGCTAGACGTCGATTTCATTATTTATTTCTTTACATTAAAATAAAAAAAATAACAGTCACGTAACGAAAGTTAATTTACGTAAAAAAAAAAATCTTAATTTTTGTACCGGATATAGGTTGTTGTTATTTTTTATTACGACTTTGTAAAATAATATTTAATTGACATTTTTATAAAGAATTTTTTTTTCTAGATGCTATTGAAAAATAAAATGGCTTAAACTTCAAGTACATAGACACAACACAACACAAGATGTGATATTGTTTCTTCTTAGTACAAAAAAACAATGAGTATTCCATGCATTGATAATTATTTTCAACGTCGATCATATTCATTAAAAAAAAACGTCGAGGTACCAATCATTTTTTCTTTGATTACCACTTAAAAATCACGTCATTATTTAAAAAAAGTATGAAGAATGTTTCAAAAAAAAAGATCATTTTCTCTTGGATACAACGAATAAATGAAATAGTTACAAGTAATTCGTTTGAGAATTTGTGTTTTTTAAAGGATAAATCATGTGAGCATATTAAAAGATCAAAGCAATTGTTTTTGAATACTAAGAAACAATGTTTTTCTGTCTGCCGTTAGTCAAGCAAACAGTATTTTCACATGCCGTCTTTTCAATACATCTACAAGTTTTTGAAACGATGTTGATCGATCAATATTGGAATTAAATGATCTACTCAGAATTACAATCATATTGATGAATCCTTTACTTTCCTCTATTGAGTCATTTTTGACTCATTCATTGAAACTATCTATTGAAAGTAAGAAAAAACATTGGATCCGAACGATTCCCAAATATTGTGTACAGTGTTTAATTAGCTATAAATTCGTAAAAAATAATCTTTCCTTCATTGTTTCTTGGCTCATATTTATGAGTAAGAAAACATTTATAATTTGCAGTGAGTAAACATGAAAAACTTTTTTCTAAAATTATTTTATTTTCGATACAAACTCCTAAAAAAGTCATGTCAGGATCGTTTTAAGTAAATTTCTACTAGGTAAAAGATAGAAGCCTGTAGTTTTAGTGAAGACTTTCCATCTATACGTGATGTTAACAAATAGGAATGGGTGATGTCGAATCAGAACTAATAGTTCTATATGATGAGTAGAAAAGAACGATTAGTGATACCGACATGATCCAGTATATTAAAGGACTTATTTCAATTCGCAAATTACCATCTTTGTAAGCGTTTGAACGTTCATCATCTCTCGAAATTGCTCATGTTTCAAAAAATAATTCATGATAAATAAGTTTCAAGCTTTACAAAATACTCATTGGTTGTATACTAACTTGTCAATTTGTCATATAATAATAGAGTTCTGCCAGTCATAACAGGTAAATCATCCTAACTGGTCCTAATTTGACCACAAGTGTATGGCCTCATACTATATATACCAGTATTTCTAGCAATAGTATGTGCTGATAGTTGAATATCTTACTCTCTCAAGAATCCAATGCATTTTGATTATAAAAAACTAATTAACATTTAATACTGCTTCATAATTAACTATTTAGCCCTGAAGATGAGTCTCGTTGTCTTCAGCAATATATGTTTTTAAAATTATTCAACCTTTGTCTTGCTTAGTCAACAGAGAATTTTATTTTGTTCAAATAAAAGACAGAAATTCTCCTAGTTAATGTAATCATTCAGTATGCACGTCTTTCCAGCTTAAGTAATCAAACTATTTGCGTGAGTACTCGGGCAATATTATGTGTATGTATACTTTTCGTGTACTTTGACAAGTACTTTAATGTCTTTTCTTACAGCATTATTCACAGACGACAGAAGGAGTACATAATTTAGTATTCATCTTCAGATTGATTGTAGCAACCCAAGTCGAAGAAAACGGTGAAAATAATAAGACAATCCATGGCTCTTGTCTAGAATAAAACAAGATCCATAAAACACAATAACTTATTAAAGTGAGATGTGATAGAAATCTATGGTATAAATATATGTTTTTTAGCTTTTTAATTTAACAAATGCACATATTGATTGTTTGTTTTATGACGCAGTCTGCATTTGAATAAAAAGAAGGAAAATCTTTCAACAGAATAATTTTAATTTTCTTTCGTTATGTTTTTGGAAAGATGAAGAGAAAAAACAACACACGAAGCAAAGATTATCAAAAACTTTTTGTTTGTATTGTAATATATAAAAATTAATTAGAGTTTGAAATATTAATTTCATTATAATAGAAAATTCCATTGAAATCAAAAAACAGAAATGTTTATCGAATTTTATTTATTAAAATATCAATTCAAATTTATTTGTTTACTTTATATTTTTGAATCATTCACAATCATATTCATAAATATGTTGTTCATGAAAACAAAGTTAACATTTACTTTGTTTAAAATTTAATGGAATTACTACAATAAAATGTTATTGATAACGATATTTGACAACACGTGAAGGTTGATCATACACGTTGCAATTCTAAAGCAGCCACATTCAAAATTGAGAGAACAAAACAAAAAAGAAAACAACTAACTGGTAGGTAATGTGTTTAAATGCATTTTTTTATTGTTTTCTACATTAAAAACAGTTTAGAAAATGAGAGTTCTTCAGTGTTATTTTATTACTAACACAAAATAATAGAATATGTTGTGCCTGTTATCATGATGCATATGATAAAGATCAAACTAGTATTGAAGAAAAATTCTTGACAGAAATTAAGGAAAGACATTCTTCTTTACTATTTTTTCCATCCAGTGCATACGATAAGCAGGGAAGAGCAAAATGGTTTTCTTCTCCCTAATTTTTCTTGCGTTCTGTATTTCTCTCTGGAAATTTTCTGTTATGAATAACTACCATCTTTAATTGTTGAGTGAAACAAATTGCCTCTTCAATAGTAAAGTTCTGTTTGCAATGTTCTAAAGAAAAAAAGTTACTTTCTTTCAAAAAGAAACTGAAGTAACTTAGGTCATATTTAGAACAATTATACATTATAAATAGAGAAGATAAGACGAATGCCGAAAGCATAGTTTGATCATCAATGTATCTAAAATTCATTTAATCGATACTACAGAATATACTATGTACGACATTCTGCTCAATATCTGGTCAGCAATCCTGTTACTGAACATGTTTAGACCAAGTAGCTCATTAGGTATGTGATAAATAGCTTATCTTACAATATATCAATTTTCAATAGCTCGCATAAAATACTAATATAGTGTACTTTTTCGGATACGATATGGACAACACTTTCGTAAGATTCTATAGACAGTGCACGATGATATTTTTGAGTGAAGCAATACAGTTTTAAATGGATCTATTTTGTTCTCCTAGAACCATAGAGGAGTGTGTGAATGACAAGCAGAACGTTCACATTCACGTCAATGTCAAAATATATATTATAAACTCTCTATAGTGGATACCCTTTGGACTTTTCAAAAATGTCTCCTATCAGGAGGTTAAGACTTTCCTAAAAGCAGTTGTTTTTATCTATTCATGTATTTTTCTTTCTTGGAAAATTCACATTTATTAAAATAAAATAAAATCTGCATATCGTGGCTACTATGGAGAGTTTTCAAAAATTATTCATCATAGAACTATATGATAATATCCACGGGCGAAAGTGTGGCAAAAGAAGGTGTGCTTTCTCTATAGCTTTGTAAAGTCTTCTTCATTAACTCTTATCCCTTCTGAGTAGGATCAAGTCAAATCTATCGTTCCATCTATAAGAAGGTTATCTTATTTCTTAGGAAAATATCTGCCAATGATCTAAAAATATCTGTTCGTAAATTTCAATATTCTAGTCTACGATAAATACTCGTCATGTCATCTTCTAGTCATCTATGATTTTCTACTGCATAGTGGTAACGCGATAGTTTCGTGGGGTATGCAAATCATGGGATTAATTGACAAATTTTTGTTATACTTTAGTAAAAATAACCGTAATTGCACAAATCAGGCCGATGATGAAAGTCGCCGACGTCGTCAAAAATAGTACTGTACACTGTTGTTTCGTACAACTTGTGGTGATAAATAGCTGTAAATTGACGTTTGGTAGGCGAAGTATTACGACCATATTTTATCGTTCTCTACACAGTGAAATACGGTTATAATTGCGTGTCTGCGAAACAGCTAAAAAGAAACATAAAAAACGACTGTTTACGATCGTACTTATTTGACCCGATATGAATTCATTTGACCTAAGTGTCATTAATCATTTGGCAAAAGATAATAGTATAAATTTAATGTTGACCAAACTCTTGAATTTTCTCTTTCTGAATCTTTCTTTTGTCAATAAAAGCATTTCTTCTATGTTCTACACTCAAAATGTACAAGTAGCATACTAATACCTTTCATTTTTATTTTCATTTAGAAAATGACAACCCTAGCAACAAATACCAATTATGAGTATATGGATAAAGCATCCATTGATAAAGATCTTTATTGTGACTATTGTAATAATCCTTTAGTTGATCCTGTATCAACACCATGTAAGCATACATTTTGTCGTATTTGTATTGAAAATAAATTAAACAAAATTGGTGGTCCTTGTGCAAAACCAAAATGTAAAAATCGATCAATGACATTAAATGATTTAACATCAGTTACTGAACGTATTGTTTTAAATATGCTCGATCGACTTCTTGTTAAATGTATGATTTGTGGTACAATAAA